AAGACCAGAAAATTCCTCAAACCGTATATTAAAAATTTTAAATGATATCGTGATTAATACAATCAAATTTGGTATCTTCTTAACTTATATTAAAGGCCATACACTTAGTCTCAGTTTTATTCCTTGATGTGAGATATACATAATATGAATGTGATATAACTCCACCAAAGTGGCTAAACTTTATATATAAGCTTAGGTGGCAAACGTCAACCAAGAATCGGAATTCATTATATGAAGGTGTGAGTTTAGACTTGTTATATACTAACATTCTATCAGCGTCAAACAACATAATTTTAAGAAATATTTTCCACTTAATTTCGTGATATTTTAACGTTGATAACCGAACGGTGTAAAGTCAGGTGGAAAGACGGAAATCATATAGGTATATATTGGGGATAGAATATAATTTTGACATTGCTCAGCTATACTCGAGAACATATCTTGAACAATTTTATATATAAAAATATTAATACTCACTGACCGACATATTCGGCATAAAACTGGTTAGAATAACGAAAGCATTACAATTATATATGGAATTTGAGGGTATATTAACCCGATTATATTAATTTTCCAATACCACATACTACTAACATGCCACTGACTAATAAATGCTCCCATTTTCATTACGGTACCTACAAACCATCACCAATCAAAGAGGTAAAGTCAGACGAATGTTCGAAAATCCTGATATTAGTTACACGGGGTTTTCACCCGATTTGATCTTGTTATGAGTAAAACACTCTCTCCTTTCATTGAGATAACTCACATATGCGATATAAAGTCACGCGGTAGTTCAAAAATATTTATGTTAGATATATGAGGGCTACAAGAACTATTGATCCGATTCAACCCATTTTTGAAACAAAGACATACTATTATCAATAGTTTCATTTATTTATTCTATTATATGAATTTCAATTATATATCTTACACAATGGCCGATATTTACGGTAAAAAGTCAACTATAGGTACTGGGGTCCACATATTCAGTACCTAGTGGCTTGAACAGTTTTGGTTCGATTTAGAGAAGTTTTGGTCACAAGATGGCATACTTTAAACGTATTATTCACGCAAAGTTTTACGTCGATATAATCATTGTTGCTTGATTTGCATAGTGGAAAGTGAAAGAATCAAGTGGAATTTAAAATGGTGTCATATGGAAAATAGGCGTGGTTGTAATCCGATTTAGCCTATTTCGCATCACATAGAAATATAAAAAGAATGTTATGTACCAAATTTGGTTGAAATCGGTTAAAAAGATCCCAAGATATGAGTTTTCACCTAAAAGTGGGTGGTGTCATGCCCACTGTCTAATTTTGAACGCGGTTCCTATAAAGTCATCTTAAGCCATCCCTGAGATAAAATTTAATGTCTCTGGCGTATTAAGTGCTTGATTTACGCGCTTTTAATAGTTTTTAACAGTACCGTTACATGGGGAGTGGGCGGAGTTATCACCCGATTTCATCCATTTTCACACCGTAGGTAGAGGTGCTAAAAATATTTGCTTCCAGTGAATTTTGTTATTATAGCTTTAGTAGTTTAGGAGATATGCACATTAAGCCTATTAGGGGCGGGACCATGCACACTTTAAAAAAAAATTTAAACTGCAGATGCCCCTTCCTAGTGTGATCCTGTGTACCAAATAAGAATCTTGTATCTTGTTGTGGAGCTTAGTTATGACAATTTATTTGTTTTTGATTAATGGCGTTTTGTGGGCGTGGCAGTGGTCCGATTACGCCCATCTGCAATACCAACCATCTTACTGTGTCAAGATACATGTGTACCAAGTTTCATAAAGATATCTAAATTTTTCCTCAAGTTACAGCTTGCACGGACGGACGGACAGGCGGACGGACAGACAGTCACCCGGATTTCAACTCGTCTCTTCATCCTGATCATTTATATATATATAGCCCTATATCTAACTCGATTAAATTTGTTTAGATATCTTACATATTGACCGATATATACGGTATACAACCAACCGGAAGATTGAAATTCTTATATAAGGTATATGGGATGTATTGACTTGATTTTATCCAGTTTTGGTATTACGTAATATTATTACCAGAAATAGATGCTCACTGAGTTTAATTAATAAACTTCACAGATTTACTAATATATAAAGTACAAATTCAAAAAATCCTTATATTAGGTATATTAGGGCTAGGTTTGTCCGATTTAATTTATTTTAGGCCCAAGCATACATCAAGTATTCAGAATAGAACAAAGGAATAGTGATCATAATGTTGAAGTATTGATGAGGTTATTATGTTAAGAATTCGAAAATTTTCAGGCTATTATTGCAAAGAGTGGAACAGCGAAGAAGTAAAGAAACTGAGAACTAGAAGAAATTAGTTAAGAAACAATTGAATATCGTTTTAAATAATCATATCATCTCAACACCTGAAAATTAGTCATTAAATTTTTTATTTTCAGGATTCAAAGTTATTAAACGACAGAAGTATTACAGAAATTTCACTAGCAGAAGCTAGCAAGATTCTCTTCTTCTTACGTTCTCAATTTGTGCTCTCCACTGCTAGATTTTTGGATGAAGAAACCTTTTTTGCTATCTAGTGATGCTTAAGAAACGTATTAACTTAAATCATGTATACATATTGTCATTGTAATAGTCATCCACACTTACGGTGAAATTGCAATTGATACATGAATATTTAAAATTTTCCCTCGTACATTATTTTGGTGGTTAAGGCTTAAAAGATCATTAACAATAAGATAATTTACTGGCAAACTTGGGATCATTTGTAGAAGATCCGTACCAAGAACCGTATTAGAATAATGTCCTGCTAATGGAAGATTATCTTCTGGCCCGCAATAATTTTGGACTCCTGGAGTATGATAAAGTGAACCCATCGCGTAGGGATTTGCCATGGTCGAAGATACTAATGTATTAGGTGAAGTGATACTACTTTCACCAGAACTCATTCTAAAAAAATAATTTAATGGTTATTCACTAAAAATGTTGTGAAAGAATTCAACATTCATTATTCGACGAAAACGTGAAAGGATAACAATCAAATTTGGTATCTTATTAATTTATATTGAAGGTCATATACCTATTTATTATATTTTTCAAGTGGAAAATCAATATGTATGCTTTTTTTTTGGGGTAGAGAAAGCGGGGGTGCTGAGTGCCTTAATTCGGAAATTGCTCAGGTATACTTGAGAACATATAATACTTTAAAGCAATTTTATAAATATATAACTCACACACTGAACGACATATTCGTCATAAGGCTTGTTAAAAAAAACGAAAATCATTATGCGTATGTATATAATTAGAACTGTTCCATTGGGTTCATTCTGTAAAAGGAATAATTTTCATTATAGTAAATTATTTAAAGTGATAAAGTATACCTAGACATATATAATTATATAACTATGTACACTTTTATTGATGCACAATTATTTATATTTAATAATTTTACGACATTACTGCTCTTCGCATGGACAATTAACTTGTATATTTTTCCATATTAAACGAGCAAAAATTATAAACACACAAACGCACATTCATACATATGTATAACACAGAAAACAAAACTAAATTATTTAATGCACTAATTATGCAAATGCATTATATTACTTAGAATAAAAGTTTATTAATTTAACTAGTAAAGTCAACTGAAAGTTTGTAAAGTGTATATTAGATATGGGGTCTAAAGGATGTATTTTTCAATTTTGGCAATAATTCATCCTATTAACATGCCACATACTATTAATATGCGCTATGAGTTTCATTAATGTACAGTTACCATTACCAATATATGTACAATGTATGGAGTAAAGTAAGACCGATTTTTAAAAATCATGATATTAACGAAATGGGAGCTGAGAAAAATTTCCACCCAATTTTATGCATTTTGGGCACAAAGATACATTGATATTAGCAAGCCCAAAGGGAGGGTTCGGTTTGTAATTCCCCCGGGTCGGTACTCAAAGCGTAGTTTCCAAAAAAATATGTGAATAGTTAAAAATTAGAATGCTTTTGAACTTGAACATTGATTTAAACGTTGTAATTACCGATAAAGGAACGTTTTATTGTTTTTATATATTGTCACGACAAAGCTATTGCCGCTTTAATTTGCAAAAATTGGAAAATTGCAACATTTCTGTCGAAGATAACCAGGGTAAGGGTTAAAATATGAGGTAAATATGAAGGAGCACAAAATTGCATCAAACGTAAAAATAAGTATGCAGTTATTTCACCCTGTGGTGCCCACACGCGGAATTTGCTTGGAGTCGAATCGGCTGAATGCTGTCCTTGAGCAAGAACTGTTTTTTGGTGTCGTTAAAAATGTTTCAATATTTTTAGTAGCAGCACATAAAGTTTGGAAATTCTGTAATCCAAAATACCCAATTCACTTCACTGTCTTTCAAATTAAAGGTAGTCTGCCAGAATCGTGGCGATCAAGTCATTTACGAAAAATCTTCCCGGATAGATAAACGTTTTGAAAGAAGATAAAAAACTCAACCTAACGACAGAAACTCGTTGAGAAGTTGATGGAATTTTAAAATGTATGAGCAAATTCGAGCGCGTTTTGATGGTCTCCATATGGCTTAAAATCCTTTAGTTAATCAATGAAAGATCTTGGTTCTTTAAGAGATCAATCGACACTGACATTAGAAATATAGAAAGTCTTCTCGTGGATTTGCGATTTCTGCGCCACCAGTGAAAAGCAATTTTCATGTAATAAATGCAAAATGGTTGCAGAGAATGTCAAGGCGATTTTACCATCAGTAAGAAAAAAACACGAAAACGACCTACCTTAAGCCAAAAAAAAACATTGTAGAGAGATGTTTTGAACCGACTTTTCTTTTAAACTATTTCAGCTTTTAAGCTGCAACCAAGAGTAACAATATGATAATCTTATGTATTTTTCGTATTTTAATAAAACTTTTAACAATTAATCAGTTAGCTAAAAGAAACTTGTACACTTACGTTGGCAACACTTTAAACGCAGTTATCAAGTAGGTACCGTTATTTTTGTCTGTTATTATTAGCATATGATCAGAAGGTATTATTTACTAAGCGAATTTCATTTATGCGGTTGTAGTTTTTGAAGAAAAAATGGTGAAAAAACAAAAATCTCAGAATTTACCGGCTAAGGTAGTCAAATATTGGCAAGAGAACTAAAGTACTCGTGAGATAGGCAATATTTTCAAAACACACATACTATTGTTCAGTTCATTATTGTTAAATTCAAATAGACTGATTCTAGCGAAACGCTCAAAAAAATTGCACGTCCCAGTCTGAAAGTAAAGTTGCTCATTGTATCAAGGAATATCCCAAAATATCCGCTGTCGCTAACGTATTTTGGGATTGTGTAATTTTTACAGGTGAGTCGAAATTTAATTTATTTAGTTCTGAAGGTCGTATATTTTTATGTCGTAAGAAAGTCTAAGCCCTGAAAGATAAAAATTGAAGTAATATGTACTGTCAAAAATAGTGGAAGCTGTATTGTGTTCGTATGTGGTGCAATGGAAGCAAAAGCCAGAGCCTATATGGAGAAGAAATTACGAGAGCGCAAAGCTAATAGCAACAAGTAAGGAATGGCTAAGTTCAGGTGTAACAGAACATTTTATTCTCTTGCAACTTGGAAAATTCCTTCAGGTGATATCAAAACTTTATATTAAGATATGTTGCGAAAGAATTAAACATCCATATGCGATGAAATCGTGAATAAATTACAATCACATTTGGTATCTCCTTGACTTATATTACATTGAAGGCCATAAACTTAGATTCATTTTATTGCTATATTTTAGTTCGCTTCAGCTAAACTGTATTAAAAAATATATATAATAAACACACCTTCCAATGAGATATATGTATGTATGTGATATTAACTGATGTGGAAAACGTCAAACAGAGCATCGGAATTCATTGTATTAGGGATATGAGGTTTAGATCAAGGCAGAGACGAATTTCATTCTAATTTAGCGCTAAGCTATATATCCGTATTCATATATATAAATTTTCATTAAAAAAACATACATATTGACAAACCTGAATGGTTTAAATACAAGTGGAAAGATGAAAATCATTTTATGAGGTATATTGGGGATAGAGAATGGGACGGGCTGATTGCATTAATTTTGACATTGCTCAGGTATATTTGAGAAGATATTTTAAAGCAATTTTACACAACAATACTTACTGTCGGTCACATCTTTGGCATAAAACTTATTAGAAAAACGAAAATCACTATAAGTCGTTTTTGAGAGTTGGGGTAGTACCCGATTTTATCAAATTTTGCCAATACAACATACTATTATCATACCACAGACTAATAAAATGCTCCCAGGGTTTTATTCACATACCATCACCAATCATAAGGAGTAAAGTCAGCCGGATGCTCGAAAATACTGATATTAGTTATATAGGGGCTTAGTCAAGTTTTCACACAATTTTATTCATTTTAGGCATAAAGATACACATATTTATATTATATTAGGTATATGGCGGCTAAGGGAAGTACTGTCCCTCTTTGAATTTCAATTATAAATCTCAAACATTGACCTATATTTTCCGTAGAAAGTCAATTATAGGTACTGGGGTCCACATATTCGGTATATGGGCTTGAACAGTTTTGGTTTGATTTGGACAATTTTTAGTAATTAGGTGGTATACTTTAAAGGCACTATTCGTACAAAGTTTTAACCCGTTATATTATTTGTCTCTTAATTTTTTTACCGAAAAGTGGAGGAATTAGATGGAATTTAAAATTGTGTTGTATGTGAAGTAAGCGTGGTTGTAGTTCAATTTTGCCCATTTTCGCACTATAGAATAGGAATATGCGAATAATATCATATGCCGATTTTCACCTAATGTTTATTTAATGAGTTATCGCGCTTTTAGTAATTTTAATCAAAACCGTTATATGGGGAAATGTCGGTAAGGTTGCTAAAAGGATTTGTCTTGACTGAATTCGCTTGTAGAGAGCTTGTACAAACGGACGGAAGGACAGACAGTCACCCGGATTTCAACTCGTCTCTTTATCCTGATCGTTTATGTATATCTAATTCGATTTGTTAGAAGTGATACAAACAGCCGTTAGGTGAACAAAACTATTATACTCTATATATACTCTTGTACTATGTTGCTACATGTTGCAAGAGTATCAAAATGAGATTAAGGCTGCTCTAAGGATATATGGCCACATATACCTCCTTAACTTGCAAAAAGTTTGATACATTCTATGAATATAAGACTGCAAACCATGATAGAGGGCAAATATGTATGTGCATATAAAGTCTTAATTTTCCTTAAAGAGTGTTAAAATGTCAATTTATTCAAACTGTGTAAGTTTTTTTGTTTGGTCTTCGAAAATGGAGCTATTTTGAGTTTTTTAATTTTTTGAAGAAAACTGGACTTTTAAAAATAAATTTCAATTATATTATGAAAATTAAAAAAACGTCCTTTTGCTGAGTTTTGAATTCAACTCAAAAATTTTTTTGTTGTGTAAAATAAATCGTTTTCATTTCTGCAGTTACATGATTTGAAAGATGAACTAAACGCAGCTGCAAAATTTTTACAAAAAATATTTTGTTTATGTATCTGATACGTTGTGCAATGAAGCTATTTACCTTAGACACATTTACGATGCAAATTTTGAAACCCTTCTTGCTGCGTACAACTTATTGAATGCCATCAATGCTCGAAAATTAAGAAAACTTTTCTGGAATATTTGCGTCGCTTTGAGAATATTGGTCAAGTAAAAAGTTCGGGAGATGGCGTTATTGTCCATAGTACTAGTGTTACATGTCGCATGATGTCATACTATACGGCGCTGAAAACGTATTTATTCAAAGCTCGGGGAAGCGGCCCAGACGGTGGCCAAATCCGGATTGACGGCCAGGAAGGTTTTTCTGTGTGTTCGGTGGGATTGGCAAGGAATCATCTACTACGAGCTGCTCCCCTTTCGCTCAATTCGGCCCGTTACTGCCAACAACTGGACCGTTTGAAGGCAGCACTCATCCAGAAGAGGCCATATTTGATAAACAGAGGCCGAATTGTGTTCCATCAGGACAACGCCAGGCCACAAACGTCTTTGGTGACGCGCCAGAAGCTCCGGGAGCTCGGATGGGAGGTCCTAATGCACCCACCTTATAGTCCCGACCTGGCACCAAGTGACTACCATCTTTTCCTGTCCATGGCGAACGCGCTTAATGGTGAGAAGTTGGCCTCAAGAGAGGCCTGTGAAAATTGGTTCTCCGAGTTTTTTGGCAATAGGGACGCAGCCTTCTACGAGAGGGGTATAGTGAAGTTGATATCTCGTTGGCAACAAGTTTACGAACAAAACGGCGCATATCTGACTTAAATCGGACAAATGTACACAAAGTTATCATCTTTTGAAAAATCAATAATAAAAAACCGAATGAACTTTTTACTTTACCTAATATTTTCGTTTAATGGCATTTTGTGGGTTTGGCGCCCATCTACGAACACGTTTTTCTTTTTTGGCAAAGGAATACGTGTACCAATTATGTACATTTTCAAAGTGTTTCAAACCGCAGATGCTTCTCCTAAACCTGATTCGTTGTACCAAATAACAGTTACGTATCATATTGTGGAGCTTAGTTTTGACACTTTATACGTTTCCGATTGATTGCTTGTGGACGTGGCAATGGTCCCATTCCGCCCATTTACAATACCAACCATCTTATGGTGCCAAGTAAGACATGTGCCAAGTTTCATCTTAATTTTTACTCAAGTTACAGCTTGCACAGACAGGCTTGGACAGGCAGAGAGACATTCGGATTTCAACTCGTCTCTTCATCCTGATCATTTATTTATATAACCCTATTTCTATCTCTATTAGCTTAAGGCAATACAAACAACCGTTGGGTGAATAAACCTACAATACTCTGTAGCAGCATGTTGGAATATTATAAAAATTATCCCATGAACAAATTCGCTTTGTGTGGGACCCAGGTGTTGATTTACTACAACAAAACTGTTGATGCTTGCCAAATTTGTGTTTAATCTGTTTAACTTAGTTAAAGAACTCCGCAAATCGGAGTCCGACCAATAAAAAATACGTGTGGCACTCGGGGACTGCCGCGGTAAAGCTATTGCATAGCATTTTTTGTCACTTATGCATTTATAATTATTTATTAATTTTTTATTCAGTATTTTTTTTTTTCTTTGATATTAATTAAAGTTACACTTTTTGTTATTTAATAAATGAGAAGTTAATATTGTTTGAAATATTTTTGTTATTTGTATATTGTGGATTCTTGTGGATCATTATTCATTTTCAAAATAATTTTTCCCGAAAGAAAAGTTGTCAATTGCTCTAATATCAGCGAAGTTGATGTTGAAATCGTCAGCCAAGATAAGTGGAAATTTATTACCATTGATAATTCGATTGAAATACATAATTTCAATTGTATTGTTCAATTCAAACGAGATACTGTTCCAAAAGGTGGGGTAGCTATTTACCAAAATAATAATAATGTTACTAATATTATGACTCCGAATATTGAATAATTTATAATATTTTATTAAAAAAACTCTGTGAGAAATTTATTTATTTTAACAAAATTTGTGCCACGTTTCACCAAGATATCTTAATTTTTATTCAAGTGACAGCTTGCGCAGAGGGATGGACGCACGGAATGGATGGATCCGAACCGGATTTCTACTCATGCTATCATCCTGATCTTTTATATGTATATATACAACCCTATATCTATCTCGATTAGATTTAGGTGGTACAAACAACCGTTTGGTGAACAAAACTATTATACTCTGTAGTAACATATTGCAAGAGTATAAAAATTAGTGCTATTTTCGCATTTTAAACTAAGTTTTGAAATAATGTTTAAATAATCGAAAGAAATGATAGAAAATATTAATATGAAGCACTATAGTTTCAATTTTATCAGTTACACTTAAATAAAATTTAACTTTTTTGTTTTATGAAGTTTCTAAACTGTTTCTTACTAATTTGACGTCGCTGATTTCATATCTACTAAATTTCATAAATAAACCGCTATGTCTACATTAATAAGAATTTGTTTGGATGATCCAATTATTTTGTGTGCTGTTTGTGGTACTTATGTTGTATATGTATGTATATGTTTAGAGAATGCCGGTTAAATGCGTCTGACTGTGTAAAAAATGCCTATTTGCACAACTTTGGAAATAAAATACATAGAATATAACTAACTGATATGCGTCGATCTTAAAGTGGTAAATTTTCTTTAGGGTCAACAAGGAGGATATACCTAATACCCTTGTTTCATGTACATATGGGATAGCCGAGCCATGACAGAACACTGGACTAAAAAAGTTTGGCCTTTGAGAGTGAAATTATTACCGGGTAATATGAATGTGAAGAATGCCCATCTAGTTGCCAGAGACCGTATTATATTACCCTCTCTTCATATAAAGTTAGGTCTGGTAAAACAGTTTGTAAAAGCACTAAACAATAAATATTTCCGAAATTGGACACAGAGAAAATTAAAGCTGTATTTTTGACGGTCCTCAAATCAGGGAACTAATAAAGGACCAACATTTTACTGATTGTCTGACGGATAAGAAGAAGGTTGTGCAAAATACATTCAACAAATTGAGCAGCTCATGTTGAAGCCATTTAAACCGCTTCCCAGAAAATTTAGGCGACTTCAGCGAAGAACAAAGAAAACGCTTTCATTAGGATATTCGCACTATGGAAGAGCGATAACAGAGCCGTTGGAAGTTAATATGATGACTGATCCTGCTGAAGCATTCAAACAAAACTGATTTTTTACTCATGCAAGAAAACCTCATAAAAGAAAGTTTTTTTTCATGTTAAGTAAAAGCAATATATATTCTAAAATTGTAGTGTTTTTGTTTTGGGTAAGAAACTTCATAAAACAAAACTACTGTGACACGTAACTATTGGAAACAAATTTTTTAATATTTGTGTTTTTAAAAAAGTTAAGTACATTTTAGCAAAATTCAATTAAATTGTTATGACCCAAAATTTTAAAGAAAATTGGTTCAACAAAATTTTTATTTGGTAAACAAATCAGAGGCAATCTATAACAAGTAAGGAAGTGCAAATTCAGGAGGAACCGAAGATTTTATAATCTTGCAATTTTCAAGGATCAAAGTCTTGGAATTACTTTTAGGTGTTGGTAAAAATTTTTATTAAACAATGTTGCGAAATAATTCAACAATCATTATTCGTTGAAAGTATGAAATTATTACAGTCATGTTTCGTATCTCATGATCTTATATTATAGGTCGTAGACTCACTTAGCCTTTTTACTTTATTTTGCTTCAAATCCCTATATAATATGATATATTTATATACGACATGAACTCATTCAAAGAGACTAAATTTAATGAACTGAGTATATGAGGAAAAAAGCAACCAGTGAAACGGAAATTTTTAGATATAAAGGACCACGGTCTAGACAGATTTAATTCATATTCAGCGCCATACAACATTATGTTTATGAAAACTTATCCACTTACTTACATTGAAATATCACATACGAGTATATTATAAAGACGGTAATAATTAATTGTGTGTAAGGTTTTGACTGATTGCTTTGCTAGTGACATTACTCTGGTACATTAGATAACATGCTCCCACGCAATTTTATGAAGATAACACATACGAGTACACTGACCGACATATGCGGAAAAAAATCATAGCATAACAAAAATCATTATATGTGGTATATTGTAGCTGGGCTAATTCGTTGAACAATTTTTGCCATTTTCCGCATGAAACTACTTGTATAATATATGCAATATTATTCGTTCACTTAATTTTGCTTATAAATTGACCGGTATATCGGTATAAAGGCAAACGGAAATTACATAAGTACACGCGTTTGTTAGATAAAGTGATATTTGAATTTCTTTAAGATATGTTACATATTAGCCAATATATAAGGTATAAAGTCAACCGGAATTTCTAAGATCCTTATTTTAGGTATATGGGGGCTAGGGGAAGTAATAAGCCGATTTTATCCATTTCCACGATATTTTCGGTAAAAAATATTTTGAAAACTTTTGGACTTGATATGGCATATTCTAAAGGCATAATTTCTGCAAAGTTTAAACCCGATAAATTCATTAACGCTTAGTTTATATACTGTAAAATGAAAAATTCATATGTGACTTTACATAATGTTTTACATGAAGAAAGCGTTGTTGTTATTAATTTTTACCATTTTCATACCGTAATATAGAAATGTCCAGGTCCTGATATATGGATTTTCACCCTAAGATGGGCAGTGCCGTATTGCCTCGGCTAAAAATTTAATGTCCCTAACGCACTTAGTAATTGAATTATTGCATTTTTAGAAGTTTTTAATAATATGGTGAGTGGCAGTTTTAACAGTGTCGGAGGAGGCTCTAAAAAAATATTCGTTCTGACCAATTTTGGTTGACTTAGCTTAAGTGGCCACTCCCACTTTTTCCAAGTTTTTAAAACCACAGGTTATTCGCCCTTCTACAATTCTGAACTTCTTAAAACTTGACTCGTTTCGGCACGGTGATCATTTATATACTTTTAACATTATAGGGTCTCTGACGTTTTCCTCTGGGTGTTTCAAACTTCGTGAGAAATTTAATATACCCTGTTCAGGGTATAAAAATGCGTTAACCATAATATGGTATAGACATAGTGAAAATTGGCAGAATTCATGTATCATGGAATAAGTTATGTTAAAATACACAAATACGACACTTATAAATTATATTATTAATACTAATTTTAGCTAAATATATTATTTTCAGTAAAATCATTGAAGTTTTGTCAAATTTATTTTCCTATTTTAGAAAAGCATTTATTAATAAGGAAGAGAGTATCTTAACCGAATATTCGTTAAATCTTTAAACACACTTTTCTACATGTAATTATTTTCAAAAAGGTAATATATGTATGTAAGGTTAGTATCTTCAAAAATAGTGAACTCGGTACGTATATTTACACAACGCAGAATAAAGGAATAACAATGCACACAATACTGGTATCGTTGCATCGTTGGCATTTTGAAGGCAATTTGATAATGCCAAGCTCCCGGAGCTTCTAGCAAGCTTCTTTATCTATGTAAGCCTGTACCTTGCCATTATTCTAGTCGTAGGGTAGAAGCTCATAGTAGATGATTCCTTTAATCGTTAACCTTGGCTTAACTTCCGTTTGCGCGGGCTCACCGCGATTCAACAACGACCGTTTTCGCCTGACGTTGTCGTAAGTGAACGACCTTTAATCACCACTAACCATTCGCATCAAAAATGAGATTTGGCGTGATACCAGCGATACAGTGATACAGCAAATATCTGAATATTATATAATGATTCCCAGTCGGTTCCTAAATCTTATCCTATATTAATACTGGTTTGATATACGATGTACCTCAAACCTGAGGCCTGTTAAGAAAATAAACGGGATTTTTCGTTCTTTGAAGAAAAAAACATTTACTCATTTGTCTACAATACATTAATGTTGTTGCCTTCAAAATAGTTGCCATTCTATATTATGCGCTTATGCCAGTGCTTCTTCCAATCGTCGAAGCATTTCCCAAACTTGATTTTTGGGATAGCCTTAAGTTCTTTCAGAGATTTTCATCTAGCTTGTAAAACTTTTTATTTTTGGAAATAGGAAAACGTCACACGAAAATCACCAAGCTCATAAAAGTAGTCTAAGTATAGCGGCTGCAATATCCAAAGTAAGGAATGAAAATTTTATCATACTTCAGAGGCAGTTATGTATGTATATCAACATACTTAAAAAAATATTTTAGAATTGAACACTCCAAGTCAGTAAAATTTTATGATAATTTTGCTCTCTTGGTTTTTTAATAATATATATAATATTAAAAAGGATTCCTTTTCCCTTAATTTAATTTTAACAGGTATATTTTAACTACATTTAGGTTAAGTAATTATAAAGGCAAAAGTCAATTACTTATAAGTTTAGATTAATTAATAAATAAAGTGTGAATAATCGAAAAAGGTTACATGGTAACGGCTATCGCCATTGAGCAGAGTGTGTCAACAATGTTTAGTTTTACTCACAGAGTTGCTGAGGAATACCATATTGATGGTATAATTAGTATTGTATAATATAAGAAATAGTAAAGCCATTTGAAGACTACAGACATTAACTGCTACGTAAAATAAACATATACATCTACATATTATGTACGTATAAAGAACTATGTATGTAGCCGAACCAATGCTCCGTTTTATAAAAGCATTATTGAGTGATTCATCATTGATGAAATATAAAAACATATTAGGAAATCGTCCTTTTATTGGTATGAACCCTGATATATTATATATTCCTTAGAATATTTTCACAGTAGTATAGCAGAATAGCTTTACTGGTGTATAAGCATATAGGTATACTTTCATTTCTCGATACAATAATTTAAAGTTTTTTATAAGGGACCAGTTCTGCGTAACTGTGTGAAATTTCCTTATTTATCTTTTGTTGTAATTGATAAGTTTACATATATATGTATTTATGTATATATATATATATATATATGTATATTACACACATCTAAGTATGCATATGTGAGTTAATAGTAAATAAAATAAGGGAGTTGGAAAAGTATTATTTATTCACTGATGCTATTCAATGAGAAAATATAATACACACTCATCGTTTTTATATACATAATATATTTTTACTTTAAGATGTCAGTAAACATATATTCTATGCCTGTTTAATTCAGCATATTGATTTTGAATGCCAAATGTCGTAAGTGAGATAAAGATGAAGGGATATGTATAAGTAAAAGGTGGTGCCGTAATTCTATTGGTGTACTAGTGATTGCATCTATATTATTTTCTTTTGGGGAGGTTACCACTACATCCATATTGAGTTTGGATTGGCTGTTGCGCAGCCTATCATATTTTTTCACTCTTCATAATATATTAAACGCGTAGAGAGAGCCAGAATAGTCGGCCTGCAGGGGAAATGTATGTGTTAGACTGAACGTGCTCAAAAACTGCAAGTAAAAAAAACATAATTTTTTCATCCAACCAAAACTCAGAGTTCATCTTTAATGGAAAAACTTATTCGAGGGCTATCCAGAAGCCATCTGAGAAGTACTCGTCAGTGTTGTTCAGACCTCTTGTTTCATTTGACGGATTCGTGTCGAGTGGATATTCATAATAAATTCACTGATGTGGGTTCTTCTTCTATGTGCCTAATACAATTGTTGAGTTTTTTCTGTAATGTTTTTAGTATAATCGACCAATTCACGTCTTTAATTATGATAGTGAATTTATAAGAATAACTTTTAATAGGTGCAAATACAATGTAATTACTACAAAGAGAGTGTATTGTTATATCAAATAAATAAAACATTACTTAATAGATATGTATATGACATCCGATTATTGTCTTCGGAAAGAAATTTGGTTTTTAAGAGTATTATCATTATTATATTGCTACTAAAAATTATTGATATAAGATAGTGAAAGTGTATTTAGTTTTGGCTTTTATTATATGCATATTCATTTAAAAGTTATGTAAAACTGTGTACAAATCTATTGGCTACCCAAATCTGTGTGAAGAAATATCATTTAATAATGGACATTCGAATCTGATATATCAGGTAATTTATTAAATAAATTGTATATTTCAAAAGATATACAGTTGTACACCTAGTTGTATTTTGCTATTTAGTTTACATGTTAACTGTAAATGTTCCAAAAGCTCCACAGGATTTGGATTAGACTAATTTAAAATATGTGATTTCTCATCGGTGATTAAGCTTTTTAACTAATTTAACTGATACACCAAAGTTTCTCAAAATATGCATTAGACGTAATGAAGCTTACCTTGATCAATGCTTGATAAATAAATTTATTTACAAGTGCTGTAAAAACCGTAGTTTTTCTTTAGAAATCTCTACTACTTAAGTAGTTATTAGTCTTTATTTTCCAAAAAAAAGTAGTTACGCTAATATTGGAAGGGATTTTATACCTATAAAGCTTTTTAAATGAATTGCTTTACTCAAATACAAGGTATTAATTCGGGGTTTTCATCCAAAAACTTAACTTTTTCCGTAAACTCTCTTGGATAAATTGTTCAAAACAATTATAAGCGAAGCCACAACGTATGGTCAAATGTTGAAATTGCTATGAACATTTATAACGGTGATATCTCTATCGATGCTTCGCAATTGGGGTTTTCTACAATTGACTTCGAAAGTGGCTAAGTCTATGATGTGTTTTATTACCTCTGTACTCTGACGAATTTAACCATTTTAAATGATATGAACAATAACAGATTATATTAAATCACTCTCCCTTTTCAAAATTTATACATTGCGTCTCAAAAATGGTATTGTACTATAATATAATTTTGACAATAATTCGACTGTGGCGCCAATTTTATTATGCCTTCTCTAAAGTACAAACAATAAATGAGCTAACTTGGGTGGAAATCGCATTAATACAATAATTTGGCAGCGCATTTGCAACATACTAATATTAACTGTTATCGTTACGATATATGGGTATTCATCAGTATCACAATCACAGTTATGAGTACATTCACTGGGATTGTTATCATCGCCGTCATCCTTATTTAAATTCCCAAAATTGTTTTTATTTTTTAATTCTAATGATATTCGTTGTTGACAACTTTGTCACTTTTCTAATTTAATAGCTAATTTAATAGCTATACCACTAAATTGCAAGTATTGTGTTTATTGATTTCAGCTACTTTTGCTATTGAAAAAATGGTATTTTTGCCATGATCAAAGTTCACAAGTCCAGGTTTTGGGCGGTCAATCGTTTTGAAATTATTCTTGGAGGATGGATGACTGGTTTTTCGCCCTCATCCGGTACCAATAACTAATATTCTTCAATTAAAATTAGGAGAATGCAATCTTCAGCATTTAAATAACTTAGAATGCATAATAATCAACGTTAAATATGTTGCCTTATTGTTTTTACAAATTTGTTAATAATTTAATGAAAAACTCCCTACAAAGGCAAATAAAATTAAATTGTAGAATCAATAAAATTAATTAAAATTAAGCGCCAATACTTCGATCAATTGTTAATAAGTAATAATTTGTTAGTACTCGCTGACATACAATATTTAAATAAGTAAAATAACAAATAAAGTGGTAATGTGACGATATGTAAAATAAGATAACGAAATATATCTTGAAAATAAGTAACTTTATCTTCGTTAGAGCGTAACGCTTTTCAAATTGCAGTTAGAGTTTTACTAAAATCAAACTTATTCATACTTTTAAAAACCAAACTGCGTTTATCATTTTTGTGTAAAACACAGCTTTATTGGAATTTTATTTAATTAAATGGTTTTCTACATAATAAATATCTGCGCATTTACGCGTAATATGCTACACGTAATATGTTACTCATCTTACTTTAATTAATTTTTATAGCAAGAAATTACAAAATTTCATAAACAAACCGCTATGTCTAACATCCGAAATATCTAATATCGAAAATATCCCTGTATGAAGAAAAAATTAAAGCTGGTATTTTTGACGGTCCTCAAATCAGGGAACTAATAAGGGACCGACATTTTACTGATTGTATGACGGATAAGAAGAAATCTGCGTGGATTGAATTTATTTGGGTTGTGCAAAATTCCTCCAGACTACATTCAACACACTGAGCAGCTCATGTTGCACTTCCAGAGAGAATATGAAATTAGTCCAGTATTAAAAAACACTCCGGTGTAAAAGTATATAATACTTTAAAATTTTCGTACGAAATATGCAAATTATCCTTGTAAATAGTTTGCAACGTCAAACATTTTACACATGCATTTGATCTAATTAGAAATTCAAAATAAAAGGGGAGGTCCGCTGTCCAAAGACATACATATTTAGTTGCGAACATATTTAAACATTAAAATTACATAATATTTAATAAAATAAATACATTTTAGACAACAACATTTAGCGATGTTTCATCAAAATGAAACGTCAATAAAGAGCTTTAGAAAATTAGTTAAACATCTTAAGACTTAAATATATAATATAAAAACATAAATTGGGAATTTTAAAATATTTGGTCTAAAATATATTGGTTTACTTATATATATATTATAGCACAACAATAATTTTGTTGACGTGTTTGGATGCTAAATTCATTATAATATGAAAATTATGTAAAAACCAGACATTTTAAATCCTCCAAAAAAATTAATGTGAATTTTCGAATGTGAAAATTCGAAGCAAAACCGTTTTTTATCATCTAAGAAAGAACCTGCCAAAGTACTCAAAAGCATCAATTGGGTTAATTTTTGATTTATACCATTTTAAATTAAAAACACGTTATATTGAAGATATAAAACGATCTAATTCTAGAAATCAAAATTCATCGACCAATAGTTAAAATAAGAATAACGGTTAACTAGATTAAGTATTAACACTGACTTAACAGTTTATTAGAAAAAGTTTGATTTATTGAAAGCATTTGTATTTCAATTTATACTTTTCACATAAATATCATAACTGGTTGAGTCTCTATTTAGAAAATTATAAACAATATGATCTATACATAATCAAACTGATTTATCCGTAATGCCACTGACTCTCTACAAATATACTATACATATGCTCAACCGTTTTCGCACTGAGATTTATACATATGTACAAGTACAAGTATGTATGTATAGTATATCTACTTAAAACCAAAATCACATTAGTACAAGTAAGGAACAAGTAAGTTCGTGTGTTACCGAACATTTCATACCCTTGCAATTTGCAAATATCAAAGCCGGGGAAATACCTTCAGGTCTTGGCAAAACTTCATATTAAAAACTGTTGCAAATTCAACATTCATTATTCGACGAAAAATATATTTAAGTCATCCTGAAATGAGAGATATATAACGGAAGGCACTAAATTTAATAAAATATATTCAGTTGATGTGCAAAACGTCCACCAGAAGATAGGAATTGATGATATTACGGATATGATATTAAGACCAAAGTCTAAACCAACTCATTCATGTTCAGCGATAAACCATTAATATAATAAGGTTTGTTAGAATAACGGAAATTATTATATGTAGTGTAGTTTCAAATATTTTTGGCATTAAACTAAAGTACATCCAATATTATACGTTCAGTTAATATTGCTAAGATATCTTACTATTGACCGATATATAGGGTATAAGTCCAACAGGTATCTGAAGGCTTGAAGAGTTATGGTCCCATTTTGACAACATTTAGATGTGAGATAGCATACCTTAAAGGCAATCCTTGTGCAAAGTCTTATTCCGATATATTATTTGGTGCTTGATTTGTATACTGGGAAGTGAAAAACTCAGATGAAATTTAAAGTTATGTTATATGGGAAGTAGGCATAGTTGTAGTCCAACTTCGCCCATTTTCGCAGCGTAACATGTGAATGAAATAATCCTATGTATCAAATTTGGTTGAAATTGGTCAAGTAGATGTAGAGATATGTCATTTTCCTAAATGTGGCCGGTGCCACACCTATGGTCTAATTTTGACATCGGTTCTTATAAAACGCTCGTGGGCCATCCTAAATGTAAAATTTAATGTTTCTGACGCATTGAATTATCGCACTTTTAGTGGTTTTTAACAAGACCATTATATGGAGCGTGGGCGTGGTTAGCTTCTGATTTCACTTAATTACACGCTGTCCGAAGAGGTGTCAAAATGATTTGTCCTGTGCAAATTTGGGAGATCTAGCTTGAATGATGTGGGAGATATATACATTAAGCGGTTAAATGGGTTTTGTCAAGCAAAAAACTGCAAATTTTCAATAATTTTTTATTTATGTAAAAATTAAATATTTTATTCAAACTTTCAATTATTCCATAAATACATATTTTTCAACGATTTTGTGAAATTTTCAAAGGAAAATATTCAAAACTCAGCCAATTCGACGTCATTTCCGGCAGTCTCTCGGAGAAAAGGTGCCTCCGTGTTGACAAGATCATCAAAAGTAAAAAGAAAAAAATATGTGCTTTAATTAAGACCATAAACTAGGTATTGCACGAAGGCAAAACAAAACAAATGAAAGTGGTTTTTTGGCAGACGTGTTAATAAAAAAAGGGAATTTTTGGTCATATTTATCAACGTTTTTCCTATTTTTTGAACAGGTGTAATTGAACAAAAAAAATCCTTCGTTCAAGACCTTGAAAATTATATCTCGAAGATCTGTGTAAAATTTCACTAAGATCGGTTGCCTAGTTTGCAAGCAAAAATTTTGACCACCGACATTGGAAACACAGTTTCGAGAAAAAAGCGTTAAAAGTTTTAAGTGACTATACACGGGTTGCCTTTTATATTTCGGAATTAGAGAACAAAAACAAATATTAATCATCGAAAATTGCTTTTTGTTTTTCAAAATATTCTCCATTAATATCTATACACTTTTGCATACGTTTAAACCAATTTTCGAATCACTTTTGCCACTCTGATCGGGGTATCTCCAAAACATGCGTTTTGAACGCATTTACCGCCTCTTCAGGAGTCCGAAAACGTTGACTCTTAGTTAAGTTTTTACGTACACGGAAATAAAAGAAAGTCATTTTGTGTCAAGTCAAGACTATATGATGGATGACTCATCAGAACATATTTTGAGTGTTC